CCGTGATAAATGAAGCTTAATCACCGTTTATGTCCTTATAGATGTCTGCTAGTCTCTAATTTAAAAAAAACATGTTGTTAGCAGAGCGTGGTTTCGATCCACGGTCCTCAAGTTATGAGCCCAGTGGCGCTCCACTGTGCCACTCTGCTCTCCCTTCACCTACCTTTGTTAGACTTTTATACATTAGGTCCCCAACCCAACCCTAACCCTAAACCCTAAACCCTAATCCTAGCCCTAGACCCAGCCCTAGCCCTAACCCTAACCCTAATCCCTTGAATTACTCCTAATAAATAGAATGCATTGACAGAACCGGCACAAACACGACTGGCGTGTCTAGTGTAATGCATTATTACCGCTTCGAAATAAAAAATACTAATAAAACACTTTTCTGTGTAATGGTGCAACTTACTGAATGACAAAAATATATATGTAAATTTAAAAAATTACAAAATACAAAATACACAACACTTAACACCCCAGCAGCCCGTAATACAAATAAATATGAGCGGATTAGTGAAAAAAGAAAAATATTTCAAACTGGTGCTTGCAAAATATTGCGCATCCGCCGGTATACAACTACTGGAAACTCTCAACATCGTTGGCCTTATGCAATGACATAGCTCGTAGAGATGAAACACCAGTGAGCGGAGCTTATACGCACTCGCTGAGCCAGACAACCGTGTTGCCATGCAGGCGTCATAGGGCATTGTTTCGAGATCGTGCTTTCGAACAAAATCACATTACATTACGTAAAAGGGTATTATGACGTATTTTTAAAGTTTGTGGTGCTGTATTCTAAAGGTAGGCCAATGTTTCCACCAGTGATGTTAGCTGCGTGAAGCAACTGCAAACCAAGAAACGTGGTGCAACGGAGTTGTTTACTGTAGGAGGCCGTACGAGGCGATGACAACTGACATGCATCGTGACGTCGCTTACATTGTGACGTAATGTAAAATGGTTCGATTACGAGGGGGCACACTAGAATGGTGCAGTGACGGGAAAGCGTCATTCAATTGTTACGTCATCAAAAAACTATACCTTTATTGTCTGATAAATACTAGTAGAGAATACTACACTTCATTCATTACATACGAATTATACGAAACGAGTGTCCTTCCTATGGTATCTGACCGAGCGAAAGCGAGGTCAGATAACATAGGAAGGTCACGAGTTTCGTATAATTCGTATGTAATGAGACTGAGTGTGGTATTTTATTTATTACCCACGTCTTACATGCATTAAATTGACAAAATAGTGTATTTTTGTTAATATTTTGGTTTCAAACCGAAACCGGTTTCATAAAGAGGTTGCGGAAAAGTTTTGTAGTGTAGTACAGTATTTGCATGACGTCACATTGTAATGACGTCACTGTCTTGGTAACCGACGTCACGATTCATGTCAGTTGTCATCGCCTCGTACAGCCTCCTACAGTAAACTACTCCGTAGCACCCCGTTTCTTGGTTTGCAGTTGCTTCATTCGGCTAACATCACTGGTGGAAACATTGCGTTTACGTTTTTCGACGGATATAATGTCTCAGTTCGACTCACAATTAAACAGCGACACGGCAACGTTCGCGATGTTTACATTTCCACAATGCATTTAAGTTGTAGAATGAATGAATTCACGTGTTTGTTATGAATGAAAAAATAGTTACGTCAGAATGTGACCTAATTGAGAGGTCATCGGTTATCCAATCAAATCGTTAGAATCTCAGGTCAAGTCGTTACGACACAGGTCAACGCGATACGACACTCGTGTGACGTACGAGATTAGTATGCAACTACCCATACGTTGACCACGTGGGTAATAATGTATTTTTTTTCTCGATTGTTCTAACCGCTAGGCATCTTAGAAATAACCATACGAAGTGTTTCAAGATCTCTTGCGAGCTGCAATGGTATGATCAGGTTATCTCCCTTCCATGGAAAAAGCAGCGTGGTAGGAATCGTGATTTTACGTCACATCAGAATGATTTCACAAACATCACAGAACTCTTCCGACACGAATACTGGCTTGTTACAGGCCATCAACCAGAGGCTGGGGATTAACTGTCTATAAAGTCTTGAAATCTGGAGTTTTTAGAGCCAGTTAACTTGCTTGCCTCGGGAAGACAGCGGACCCGTGAAGATCCGGGTTAGAACTGATCTTCAGTAACCAATGCTTGTCGTAAGAGGCGACTAACGGGGTCGGATGGTCAAGCTTGCTGACTTGTTATCCCAACTGAGTAGATCGATGCTCATGCTGTTGATCACTGGATTGTCTGGTCCAGACTCGATTATTTACAGACAGCCGCCATACCGCTGGAATATTGCTGAGTGCGGCATGAAACTACACTCGCTCACTCGGGAAGACAGCGACGGACATGCATCTAAAGAATAGGGAGTGATTCTTTCGTTACTCCCGCGTCATCAGAATAACTGGGAAAGCTACCGGTATTCGGTGTTTCGCAACACACAAACAAACAGAGTAAGTGAGAGAGTGATTATAGTTGGATGACGTTATTATATACTCATGCTAAAAACAATAAAATTATATTAAAAAAATATACTCATGCCAATAATGGTTGGCAACCCCCCCCCACCCCCTCCAATAAAAAAAAATTTAAAGGGGGTGACAACCATTATTGGCATGAGTATATTTGGATGACGCTCCACGTGTGCGTGAGATAATGTTGTCTATGCATACATAGAACTTGGGATATTGCAAAATATGTTAAACATTTGCCCAGAACTCGTCAATAGAGAGTTTTACGACGACTTTTTCCAAGAATTTGTTCAGTTACAAGATTGGTTAGATCAGGGATAATCTACAACTTATATAGTCTCCCTGGTTAGATGTGTCAAACGGTTAGTGTTAGCCTGACTGTATCTAAGCAACACACAGTGAAGTTTAGTTCCTCAGCGTTATATATCTGCATTCTAAGAACACGATACACGTATACTGTTTGTTTGTGAACACAGGGTGGTATTTCAGCCCTAGGAGCTAAATGATAATAATCGAATCTCTGATATCAATAATTCACCCTCATAATCATAACACAATAAAGAAGATACGTACTAGTTGACAACGTCCCCTATCACTAATGTCGAGCTTTTAACACAATGTATATATCTATTTTGTGTTTGTGTGTTCGATGGTTCAATAAGTGGTTTCGAAAGGTTTTACCATTTAACAATATAAAGATTTCATTTTGAACCTCACAAACGACAGAATCAAGGAAGCATGTAATGTGAAAGGATTATTATTATCATTATTCATAATATCGCAAACTATGCTGTATTGATGTTTATAATCCACTTATATTTCAAGATATCACAAATTAATAACAGATTTCACTAATAGATTATACGATATGATAAATGAATTATTTTAACAAGTACTTCAAGGTATCATTCAATAATATTTTTAAAAATATCAAACTTGTTACATCTACATTTCTTTCTTTGTTAAACTATTCGATAAAATCGAATGTCTATAAATATTTAATTTATATATATATATAGCATACAATATGGAATAAATGGTAAAACGCTGCTTTGTAACTATCATAACACGGACTTTAAAGAGCAACACATGAAAAGTATGTAAATATGTCTGTGAGTTGTTAGTTTTACGCTGTGATATTGCTGAAAGCAGCGTTAAACCAAAGTCACTCACCCATTACGCTGCGTTTAACAATGTTACAGCAATATCGCGGCGGGGAACACAAGAAATAGGCTTCACACATTGAAACCATGTGGGGAATCGTACCTGGGTCTTTTGCGTGACGAGCAAACGCTTTAACCACTCAGGCTACTCCACCGGTGTTCGGAAAAGTACCGGTAAAAAAGTACTAAATTTGCCTACTTTTATTTTTTTATAACAAATGTTAAGAAAAAAATTAGATATTCAGGTTTTTAATACTTTATTCACATACAACAATGTAAATTGACAAATACACATTTGCAGGACTTTTTAATTTTTTAATACTTTCTTCACATAGGCACTTTACAATGCAAATTGATAAAAATTGCGAAGCTGGTTTGTTTGGTAGCCTTATAGTCAAAGCGTTCGCTTATCAACTCAAGACTAAGATTCGATTTTAAAATAAGGTACAATGTGTGAAGCCCATTTCTGGTGTCCCCCGTAGTTACTTAAATCATGCTAATTGCGGCGTAAAACCATGCTCGCTCACTCACTTTAGGCGAAGCAATCATCAACAATCAAGCTACATCCTGGCGTTCTAGCTTCACATATAAAAATAGTGTATCCAAGAGAGAAATCGAAATGGGAAATGTTCGTTGTCAGTAGGTACAAAACCAAATAATACATCGTTGTTGCAATACCACCTGGCGAGTCGATCCAGGGGAGATAATTCGTCAATATAGAAAATTGACCTCAAGATACGAAGCAAAATATTGGGAAAAGGACATATTCTGTATCTGTTTAACTGTCAACAATTTCGGTTATAGTGGAAATCAATGGCATTGTGAAATAAACTTTAAGCTAATATTGAAAAAGACGACTCATGTCAGTGGAAAAGTTGTGCCATAAATGCTTTATTTAGATCTAGTCTTGTATCAATATCGCAAGTGCGCACTTACGTGCATTCAAGTGAATTTTCAACAAAATCAGCATCTTCAATCCAAACAACTGTTTACTATGAAAGATTTGTCTGACAAGACGCCCCCACACATATTCTGTTGTCTGTGTGCTGGTGTGAAAATAGTCCAAGTGGTGATTACAACAGAATATAACATATAGGGTGTCTATTTAGTTTTTCCTTTCGTGTAATAATGCCTCTATTGTCCTTCAGGATGGAGAAAATCCTCCAGCAAGTCACGACTTATGGACATCCGCTGTAATTACTCCCCCTGTTAATTAGTCTTTACAAACAGTTAAAATCTACGTGATTAGCCTAAAGCTAAGGAACCGTGCATTGAATGAAAAAGATCCGACCAACAGTCTGTCAACATCCGGGTCACTAGCTCCATGGAGCCTCGTTATGATGTCAGCGTACTGATCACCGCCATTTTGGTTATAATTTGGCGAAAATATGTCCATAGAAGCTCATCCTGTAACCCATATACAGGTTGAAAATGTATCTGGTAAGATTAAACAGACGCAATGAGTCTTCATTTCTTAAAGTAATGAACAGTGTAATCCAAACTATGGTTGATGACCTAGTTAGAACGTGTTAATTTGGGTGTAGTTCCACAACCTTCTTACTCGCCCCGAAATACTTGGCGCAGTAATACGCTTCAATATGAGGGAAGGTATTCCTACTCCCTAAGTTAGTTCCTCGGTTCATTGTACCGCCGCGGATGTTAGCAAAATGTCCTCATCTGTATGTTATCTACCTAAAGTCAGGAATTCAATGTAAACTGTGCAAGCAGTGTCTGGGCCATATTCTTTCCTCCGACAACGAGGACATCGAGTATGAACGCTCAAATGCTTCTTGCAAGCGCCAGATTTGCCCATGTAACACAAGACATTGAAAAAGTTAATAAAGTTCCACTTGTATTACTCATATTTCGTAGATATCATATTGCTTTGATTGTCCCAAATATTTGTGTCAGAGCCATTGCCTAAATGTGTGCCTTGAAATGGCATATTGTGCATGGCTTTGAAGTCGTGAGGGGGTATAAAATTTATAAATCAATCTTTGTCAGTGTTATGATGTTGTATCTGAACTCTAATGTCCCTCACATACCTGGTGTTGACTTATTGTTGTTGTAGATGAAGTAGAAAGATTGACATTTATCATTCTGGAGTTATATATCACTTTATTTTAAATCTTCAAGCATCTAAAACCAATTTGGAGAGTGGATAAACATTTTAACTGTGAAACATTTAGGAACATTTAGCCAGTTATAATATTATTGTATTGTACCTTCACTTAACCAGTATAAAGAGATGTTAGTCTCAAGGATTTAACATGTCTCTTGTTACGATACGAAATGAATAAGTGCAAAATAAACAGATTGAGAAAAAAGTTTGAACTAAAGAGGCAAAACTATACATCTCTACTTTGTCATGAAATCTTTTCATGGGTACAATGTGTTCAGCCCATTTCTGGTGTCCCCTGCCGTGATGTTGCTGGAATATTGCTAAAAGCGGCGTAAAACCAAACTCAGTCAGTGAAATCTTTTACTTTTCCTACAAATTGTGAAGTGGAAGAACATCAAGCTCTTTTACTATTATTAGTTTAGTTATTAACACAATACACACCACAACATTCTGTGAGATAGACGCCTACTAAGTAATGTTGTGGAACAATATGTACCATGAGTTTTGTAATGTCATTTGAAGTCCAACTAAGAGTAGTGCACTGATCATGTTTATACCATGTCAATGCCAACCTGTAGGGGTGAAACGGTATGCTCTTACCACGGTACGTATTGCAGTACAAGGCCTTCGGTTTGGTATATAAGATATGATCATAATGCAGAAAATTGACGAGCCATCTGGCAATGACATGCATAGATTTTGACAAAATGATTTGATTTCAAGACATTTTAGAAAAGGTTTCAAAAGTTTAAGAAAAGGATGATATGAAAACAGAAAATACAAATTTTTGGGATTGCATTATGGTATACCTAACCGAAGACAAAATACCGCGGTTCTACTAATACCATTATAGCATTATGGCCTGAACAGTTTCTAACAGTGCTCCTTCAGTTGAGACTTATCTTGCACAAGTCACTGGGCCTTTTTGTATAAATTTACATTTTGGCTGTTTTAAAACGCATCTAAAACACCCAGGTGGTTTATGTCTTATTCAGAATATTGTAGTTTGATGGACATATAACTGCCAGTGAATAATTTCTAACTAAATAGTCACAGCAGCAGTATTCACTGAATTATACAGCATGTCACAGAGGGCTGTGTCAAAGCAGAATACAGTATTACATCAGTGTGCATGTCAGTTTCATTCTCATCTCTCTAATGGGTATGACCCGTGAAGATCCAGGGTAGAATAGGTCTTCAGCAACCCATGCTTGCCACAACAGGCGACTATGCTTGTAAGAGGCGACTAACGGGATTGGGTGGTCAGGCTCGCTGACTTGGTTGACACATGTCATCGGTTCCCAATTGTGCAGATCGATGCTCATGCTGTTGATCACTGGATTGTCTGGTCCAGATCCTATTATTTACAGACCTCCGCCATATAGCTGGAATATTGCTGAGTGCGGCGTAAAACTAAACTCACTCACTCTAATGGGTATACTATATTTCTCATTATATATATTTAAAGTGTAACAATTGTTTAAGCTTCAGATAGTCTAGAAACTGACAAAGAAGGTCAATGTATGTATATTTTAGAGTCATATGTAAGAAACCTAAAACATATTTATGTTTTAAAAGTAGGTGTCTGGATGGATCTGGTGGTGATCAGATTCTGTGATTTGGTTCCTTATGTGGATCAGTGCTCACAATATTAATCACTGGTTTGCAGGAATGCAGCATCGATCACACTAACGTACTGTTGTGCAAAATATTGACACTATGAGATTTCTCTTTGCATCATTGTGTATTGTAAATTGTGAACTGGGCACAATTGCAGACAAATGTCATTTACCATTACCGCAACAGAAAGCACTGTAAGCTTATGGTAACTCTTTTCCATTTAGACAGGAAAGATAAAAAATCCTTATCACAGGCCAGATTTAGAAAACATATCTATACTACCCATCAAAAGTTTAGACTTAAAGCTCACTATATGTTATGTATGTATGTAATATGGTTACATCGAAGATGAACTTCTCCTCTAACTTTGGGTCACCAACTGCAAACCTTATGCAGATGAATAACACGAGGATCATGCTTCAAATTGCTGGAAAGCATGTGCAAGTATCATGCATGTGAACAGCTGCATTCTGGTGTAAAGTTTTGTTAAGAAATCGCCAATTTTCGCTGAGTTTCATCATTTACTGAACTCATGACAATAATCTTTTCAACGTTACAAATTTGTTTTACAATACATCAGTTCATATGTAAACAGTAACTTTAAACAGTATGGAATATTTTGCAAAATCTAGTTGACTGAGATAAGTGGCTACATGTACACTAGTGAGTCTTAACTTATGATAGGTAGTACATGCATATTAGGCAATGATACAATTACAAATTCACATGGACACTCAGGTCAGGAAGTTTTGCTGTTTTTCTTCTTTTCATTAATTATCTAAATACCATCACCTGGGTTAAGGACAGTGACTAAGGTGGCCCAAAATGCCAAATACTGCTGTAGAACCCAACAAATCTTCACATGTGTGACATGAATCCTTCATGGGAGGTAACTCTGTATGTTAGGTTGATCTCAGTTCCAAGTAATAGGATTAGTGCAGAGAGATTTTCAAGCTTGCGAAAACTGAAACAAAAAACACTGTCAGTTTATCCTTTTTATCTCTAACACTGCCTCTCTAATGCCTTTATTCTTTATTCTTGAATATTGCTTTCTTTACAGAGCATCAAGTTGGAATTTACTCTAAAACTGAATCCAAATATTTTATGGATTTTTTTTTCACGTAACAAATATATTTTCTTATGGTTGTATATAGCTGGGTTTATGTAATCCCTCTATAGCTTTGCAAGTAATTGATTGACTTGTCAAACAACTCATGCAGAATATTTTTTAGACTCTCTGTCTTGAGCGGCTCTTGTAGGTGCACCAGAATCCTATGGTCATGGGTACAGTTTAAAGGTTTGAAGAGCAGTGTTTCACCAAATACACCATTGCGACCATAGTAGTGGTGGTGCGGACTGTAATCTTATATAAACTGGTGCTGACACCATCATCCTCCGGTTTGTCTGGTCCAGACTTCATTATAGACGTTGTGATAACACTGTAGTACTGCACACTTACTCTATTTTAGAAACAAAACAACACAGTAAGGGACGCGTAGGGATTTACGGGACTCGAATTCCTGCGTCCTATAGGGACGCAGAAAAAGGCCAAATACGTTTTGTAAAAATTTCAATAAGTTATCACTGAGTCTGCTACTAGCTTGATTATGGTATCATTCACAGTTTAATTACTGTAACAATGTGATGATCATGATACACAATACAATAACAGTAACTGAATTACAACAATGTTACAACATAGTAAATATTAATAATAATATTTAAGTGTCTGGGACCCCCATTTTGTAGTCCAGGACCCCTGAAAATTAAGAGTATGAGTCCCAGGGACCCTCAAATACAGGACTTAGGGTAAATCCCTGGACACGTCTGGCCCTATTGTCTTAGACATTGCATTTCACAATATAGAGTTACTACTAGGACTGCATGGTATTACCGGTATACCGCAATACGAATTTCAGACGATACCTATTTTAATAATTTTTCTGAGAACCGGATTATTGGCTAAAACACATCTCTTGAGTTTTTGTGATTATCTTAATGGTTTGAATTAAAATCTACATAGATTTTCATTCACCACAGATCTTTCCTTCATTTTTCAATGACAAAAGCGGCATACAGTAAAACTATGAATTGTATAAGAAAGAAACTAGAATCCCTGAGTATGCAACCTAATTTTGAGATTGCTGTTATCCGAACCATATCATATATTTTCAGGGCCTTATAATGTAGCAAATAGGATCGACATGTACAATTGGTTTCACTTACTGTCAAACACAAGTTCCCAATATATCGCAATACGGGTACCTGAATTGTAATATATTGCAATACAATTTATTTGCCAATACACAGCCCAAGTTATACCAGAAGCACAATCATGGGTTGAATCCAGCTAAGACCCAGGTATGTTTCCTGGTGTGTCAGCTCCATACCAAGGGTTTCACTACACAATAAGCGTCTAAGGTCTGCATCAATCCAGGTTTTCAACCCAAATGTAGCTGACCAGCCATTATGTAACTGGAAAAAAGTATATCATGATAAACCAGCTCACTCACTAATGGATGGGTACAATGTGTGAAGCCCATTTCTGGTGTCCCCTGCCATGATATTGCTTGAATATTGCTACAAGGGGCGTAAAACCAAACTCACTCACTCACTAATGGACCCGTGAAGGTCTGGGCTAAAATTGATCTTCAGTAACCCATGCTTATCGTAAGAGGCGACTAACGGGACGTGTCAACCAAGTCGGCGAACCTGACCACCCGATCCCATTAGCTGATATACATGTACTCCCAAGTAGACTACATTATGAAAAAATAGTTCAGGAATAAAATGTGAGGTTATAAGAGAAGTTTTTTTCTCTCATAAAAGAACCAGTTATTCCCTGTATGTCACGTTACACCTTTTGTCAGTTGCAGATTATGCCCAATATATCACCCATGCAACGCCAGTCCATGTTATGACAGATGGCGTCCCAGAGGGCGCCACCATGACTTTCATCGAGCACACAGTGCTCGATGCCAACCAGGTCTTGGAGCCACACCAAACCATCGAGGTGTACCAAGCCATTCAGCAGGGTGTCCTAGAGCAGGTTGTGTTGGAACAGCCAATCATAGCACAGATATCAAATGGTGCAGCTGATGTCCAATCAGATATCAAGCCGCCTGTTGGCAAGGTAAGCCGATTTAGACGATCTTTTGAATTATATAATTGTTTTTATTAAAGCTTCCAAAACATTTATTGTTATAATTAGTAACATGTTGTTTAGTACCTCAATACACATTACAAATTGAGCAGCATTATGTAGTTTTGTAATGAAATTGTAGAAAGTCATTTCATTTGAGCTTCAGTTTCCCAAGAATGGAGTAATTTAGGATAGTAGAAAATTGGTACTAAAACACATTTTCACGTAAAAAAATCTCTTTGAGGGGATATGATATCAGCAGCTGGAAAACAACAATTCAACCACTGGCCATTTTCCATGTTAGCACCAATGAACATGATGAAATTTATTTTTGTGCGAGATTTTTTTAATGTAATGTCATGGAAAAGTAGCATAATTCCCTGGAGAAGACAATAGGGCTGGTTAAAAGATCGATAATCGGAAATATCGTCAATGGGAATTTTTTTTAATGATTAGGGACCGTTCATAATTTATGGCTAGGGGGGTGATGATGATTTTAAGGGGGGAGTCACCCATTTATTCTGGGGAGCTAGGGGGTCATCAATTTTGTACACACATTCTAGGGGTCATCAATTTTGTACATGAAAGTATGTTTAAATTTATGCTTAGAAATTAAAGGAAGGGGAGGGGGGATAATTGATTTTGTACATGACATGCAGGAGGGGGGGGTTCACTTATTTTGTACATAAATTTTAGGGGGGTCATTCGCATTGTACATGCTTCTCCATAAAAATCATCATCACACACACTCACACACCCTAGCCATAAATTATGAACGGTCCCTTATCGAAATGAAATTGTGTCATTGATAATATTGTACAAAAGCTGTTGTGATGAAATAGAGTTTTCACTAGCACAGACAATGCAGAAAGGTAGGTTTATATTTATAGGCTGCTTCTAAGTTATGTTCAGGACCATGATTTTGTTAGTCATCCAAGCCTAAATATGTTACCATTCACCAAATTTTGTTAAATATTTTTATTTCTTTCAGATTTTTAAAAACATTTTGCTCAAAGCTACTTTTGAAATATACAGTTAATGATTACCGATCTCTATGATCTTCATTAATAGCCTGGCCAAGAAGTATATGAAAAGTAAATTGTCAGGCAAATAATGTTTGAACGCCACTTTTTATTGCAGGAATAGGAATTTGAATGTTGTTTAAAATTTCTAAATGTGACTCATTCTCAGACAGAAGATACAGATGATTTCTGCAACCTATTTATCTATTACAGGGCCCATTCAACTGTGAACTATGCGACAAGATCTTCAAGAAATGGAACCAGCTGCAGCGTCACATGAAATCCCACGATGAGGATAAACCATTTCGATGTCTACAGTGTCCTGTGTCTTTCAACATGGAGGACAACCTCATCCTCCACCAGGCCACCCACGTCGCGGAGAACGGTGTCCCCACATGTCCGGAGTGCAACAAGAAGTTCTCACGGGTTGCCAGTCTCAAAGCTCACATCATGATGCACGAGAAAGAGGAGAACCTGATGTGCCCAGAGTGTGGAGACGAGTTTAGTGTACAGGTATGTAGGGCTACCACTAGCTTCCATCATAAAGTTACATGTTAGAATCAGCCTTCAAACCATGCTTGTGGTAAAATGCAGCTAACAGGATTAGGTGGTCTGACTACCTCACTTGATTTGTGCATGTCATCATGTCCCAATTGCATGTGAGGTGTGCAGAGTTGTCTCCCTTTTCCTTGATGTACCTATCAAAGGTGTGACTGAAAGATTTGCCATGAACTTAACACTTGCTTTGTCATGCCCATACCACTGCTCTCAGGTTTCATGACAAATCCCATACTCACCATTATTTTAATGAAATTCTGATCTACAGGAACGTGAAAGCCAGTTCTTCCATAGTGTTTGTATGGTCATTACACTAAAGATATGCATTGATGATTTACTTTACGTGGCTGTCCCATTCTTTCCAACAGACATTAATTTGATTGGTTGAGTGCATGGGTTTTGCAATTCAACAATGAATCCAGTGTCTTTGAGCCTTTTTTCAGTTTGATAGCATAGTTTCGTGTAATAGTTAAAGTGTCCTACTTTCATAAGCTTATTTTGGTATCAGTTTCATATGATCATTTTGGTGTCATGCTTTCATGAGATATTTTGGTGTCATGCTTTCATAAGATATTTCTGGTGTCATGCTTTCATGAAATAATTTCTGGTGTCATGCTTTCATTAAATCCTTCTGGTGTCATGGTTTCATTAGATCTTTTTGGCGTCCTGCTTTCATGCGATCCTTTTTGGTGTCCTGCTTTCATTAGGTCCTTTTGGTGTCATGCTTTCATGATATCATTTTGGTGTCATACTTTCATAATATTATTTGGTTTCATGCTTTCATGAGATCCTTTTGATGTCATGCTTTCATGAGATTATGTGGTGTCATGCTTTGATGAAATATTTCTGGTATCATGCTTTCATGAAATCATATTGGTGTCATGCTTTCATGAAATCCTTTTGGTGTCATGCTTTTGTGAGATCATTTTGGAGTTATGCATTCATGAGATCATTTTGGTGTCATGCTTTCATGAAATCATTTTGGTGTCGTGCTTTCATGACATCATTATGTCTTCCTACTTTCATGGCATTATGGTGTCCTACTTTCATGGTAGTATAGTTTCATACAATAATTTTCTTGTCATACTTTTATACTATTATGTTGCTAACATGGTTTCATACTATCAACATATTACATCAGAACATAATGTTATAAAGTTATGTTCCTCATGGTAGATCCAAGTCTAAAGGACCCGTGAAGATCCGGGGTAGAATAGGTCTTCAGCAACCCCTGCTTGCCACAAAAGGCGACTATGCTTGATGGCCGACTAAAGGGATCGGGTGGTCAGGCTCGCTGAATTGGTTGACAAATGTCATTGGTTCCCAATTGCGCAGATCGATGCTCATGCTGTTGATCACTGGGTTCTCAGGTCCAGACTCGATTATTTACAGACCGCCGCCATATAGCTGGAATATTGCTGAGTGTGGCATAAACCTAAACTCACTCACTCACTCCAAGTCTAAAGAATGAGACCCTTTAGATTATTGTCTCTCTTTGTTTGGCATTGATTTGGATCCCAGATTCATGGAAAATGCTCCATGTTTTTTCTGCACCAAACTTGCATCAACATCTCTTGCATCAACATGGATATAAAAGGCAACTTGACTCTCTCAACTCATGAAGACTATGAATTTTATTCAATAGATAAACATGAATGGTATAGGGAAGCATGTGGTTGGGGAAAAATATCAGCGCCTTGAGCAAGCAATAGTTGCCTGGATATGTGCGCTATATAAGTATCCTGTAATAATAATAATAATAAAGTTGTACTAGTGTTGTTGCACCATGTGATTTCAGAGTCAGCTGGATCGACACATGCAGGAACATCGAGAGGAGCACGAGGGAGCAAGACGGCACGCCTGTCGGCAATGTAACCAAGACTTCTCCAAACTGTCCCTCCTCAGGGAACACATGAAACAGCATTACAAAATCAAGTATGTCAGACACAATACGCTTACTTGTTGTTTCTTCTTGTCAGCCTGAAAGCACATGTTGTATTTACTAAATCTCTTTTTGTTTTGTTTTTGAGAACCTTTCCGGTTCATGCAGATTATATATTGTTTAAGGTACTGTCACATTATTATCATTTTGTATTGCAATGGAGATGTGTCAATGGCATAATGTCTTCTTGCATTATTATAGATCAAGGTTTCGTGATTTTAGAAAAATATGAAGAGCAGTTGATTATGAATACATGGGTTTACATGTTACAGGGCATCGTATCCTCTTTAGGATACTGTGGTACTGGTAGAAATGGTTCAATGAACCAGTGCTCAGTGTCAGGCTCATCGATTTGACTTGACAGCATGGGATATACGTCAGAATGTCATACAAACAGGATGTTGAATTATTTGGATTATATTAGGTGATTTTATGGTGTTGCTTACAGGGCATCTCTGTCTCATCGGACATACAAGAGGAACATTGATCGCTCTTCCTTCCATCATAAATGCAAACACTGCACCAAGACATTTCAGAAGCCCAGTCAGCTGCTGAGACATGAGAGAATACACACAGGTAGGTTACTGAGACGTGAGAGAATACACACAGGTAGGTTACTGAGACGTGAGAGAATACACACAGGTAGGTTACTGAGACGTGAGAGAATACACACAGGTAGGTTACTGAGACGTGAGAGAATACACACAGGTAGGTTACTGAGACGTGAGAGAATACACACAGGTAGGTTACTGAGACATGAGAGAATACACACAGGTAGGTTACTGAGACATGAGAGAATACACACAGGTAGGTTACTGAGACGTGAGAGAATACACACAGGTAGGTTACTGAGACATGAGAGAATACACACAGGTAGGTTACTGAGACGTGAGAGAATACACACAGGTAGGTTACTGAGACATGAGAGAATACACACAGGTAGGTTACTGAGACATGAGAGAATACACACAGGTAGGTTACTGAGAGGGCGTGAGAGAATACACACAGGTAGGTTACTGAGACATGAGAGAATACACACAGGTAGGTTACTGAGACATGAGAGAGAATACACACAGGTAGGTTACTGAGACGAGAGAATACACACAGGTAGGTTACTGAGACATGAGAGAATACACACAGGTAGGTTACTGAGACATGAGAGAATACACACAGGTAGGTTACTGAGATGTGAGAGAATACACACAGGTAGGTTACTGAGACATGAGAGAATACACACAGGTAGGTTACTGAGACATGAGAGAATACACACAGGTAGGTTACTGAGACATGAGAGAATACACACAGGTAGGTTACTGAGACGCGTGAGAGAATACATACAGGTAGGTTACTGAGACATGAGAGAATACACACAAGTAGGTTACACAGAGTACACACAAGCAGGTTACTGAGACATGAGAGAATACACACAGGTAGGTTACTGAGACATGAGAGAATACACACAGGTAGGTTACTGAGACATGAGAGAATACATACAGGTAGGTTACTTAGACATGAGAGAATACACACAGGTAGGTTACTGAGACATGAGAGAATACACACAGGTAGATACTGAGACATGAGAGAATACACACAAGTAGGTTACTGAGACATGAGAGAATACACACAGGTAGGTTACTGAGACATGAGAGAATACACACAGGTAGGTTACTGAGACATGAGAGAATACATACAGGTAGGTTACTGAGACATGAGAGAATACACACAGGTAGGTTACTGAGACATGAGAGAATACACACAGGTAGGTTACTGAGACATGAGAGAATACATACAGGTAGGTTACTGAGACATGAGAGAATACACACAGGTAGGTTACTGAGACATGAGAGAATACATACAGGTAGGTTACTGAGACATGAGAGAATACACACAGGTAGATTACTCAAACTTGAGAGTACCAGTGAAGATCCGGGTTTGAATTGGTGTTCTTATGCTTGTCATAACAGGCGACTAACAGGTTCAGGTTGTCAGGCTCGCTGACATGGTTGACACATGTCATCATATACCAGTTGCTCAGATTGATGCTCATGATGTTGATCACTGAATTGTCTGGTCAGGACTCGATAATTTACAGACCGCTGCCATATAGGTAGAATATTGCCTAGTTAGATAACAAACTTGAGAGAATATATAGAGGTAGGCTACTGAGACAGAATGTACATGGGCAAAGTGGTGAGATGAGAGAATATGCTCAGGCTCGTGAGACACAAGAAAAAACACATGTGACCTCCAGAGCCTGAGAATGCTCATTGATGCTGCTTTTACACTAGAGAATGCTTTAATAGTGTGTTGTTACCTATTTTCAATTCACACCAACAAATAAGTTATACTTATTGGTTTGTTAAATGTGACTCTCTGTGTAATATATGTATCTGATTAAATACATGACTTTTCTTGTGGGATTGTTTAGGTGAGCGTCCATTCAAGTGTAAGATCTGCAATAAGGCTTTCAACCAGAAAGGCGCACTACAGATCCACACCAGCAAACACACTGGAGAGAAACCTCACATGTGTGAGTTCTGTCCCATGACATTTGCTCAGAAAGGAAATCTGAGAGAGCATATACAGGTATGGAAACACAGCTGTTGACACATGGTGGAAAATGGTTTGTAATGGTGCTGTCAGCACCTGATTTGTTTGTCCTAGACTTGATTCTTTAAAACCAAATCATATAGGTTGAATATTGCTGACTGTTCACATTCACTCATCCTATTTTGAGATTGCCAAGGCCATCTTTCTAAATGTAATTCATGTGAAACTGAACCGTTGAATTCTTGCGAGTTCAAATCATAGTTAATTCCTTGTTTTTTCAGCGTGTGCACAATATTGCCAAAGACGGAAGTCGACCAGCATTTGAGTGTGAAGAGTGTAGCTGTGTTTTCAAGAAACTGGGGAGTCTCAATGCCCACATCAGCAGGGCACACTCTGACACATCGGTACGTCCTGAAAGTACCCGTTTCATTGCCATGGTTGTGTGTTGTTTGTGAGAAGCTTGCAATAATTTTCCTCATATAGAAACAGATCTGTCTGATCTGGAATGATTTACAACTGACTTTCACATTTGTAATACAGACATTACACAAACCATGATCTGTTTAGGACTTGCCAACTCAGGTAGAGGTGAGACGAGTTGGCGTGGAGGAAGCCAAGAGTCTCAATGAAACTGTTATACAACAACTCCTGGAGCTGTCGGACCAGGCCGCTGTCATGGACGGCACCGATGACGAGCAGGTCCAGGACCAGGACATACGTCAGAAGCAGGTGCTTGACCAGGACCAGGTGAGAAATTGGACATACACCTAACCAATACATATTTTTCTTATCCTGACTCATGTTTATTTGCTTGTCTTCTTCTTCTGGCTTAACCTAGTGGAACACTTGTATCTCCCAATTGAAGTTCCCTTCAATAAAAAATCACTCATTAGTACTGACCACGAAGTTACCTCCCTTCCACAAGCTGAACGAGGGCCACCTGAACCCATGTGCCTCACTCTCTCCTTCTTCACCAGTGAGCAAGACGTGAGAGCACCTGTGTCTCCCCTGCACACTATATCCTTTATTTATATTTAGTTTGTTACCTCTTATATTCATCTATAGAGGTGTAACTAGTATCATTATTCAACATGCATTGATAATTATTCGTGTTTCTGCTGCTTGATTCACGGTTCGCCGCGGTTGCTCAGCAGTTTCATGCTAATAAAAATCTGCACTGTTTGTAAATTACGCTACTCTGCTACCGATCCACATTTAAAATGCCCTAGTTGCATTACTCCATGTTCTATTGTTTCTCGTTGTAAATTATATATTAATTTACCAATTTCTGCCTTTGATAAATATTTATGTTCCGCTTTTGAGACGGAAGGCAGATAAATCTCGAAACAATCTTCAGTCATGGCTAATAGATCGGAGTCAGATATATCCTGAGTTACCTTCGGGATAAGCGGGACGAGTCCGCTATATCTAGAAGTTTACCTGCTTCCCAGGACGCTCCTTCATCACAGTATAAAACTAGAAGAACTTCCACGCCGTCTCAACGTGATGCTCCGAGCCCCCAGGTCTACAGCCTCGCCAAAGGGAAATCCACGAAGACTACTAAAAACTTTGCTTCTGATATTCAGAATTATGTTTATATGATGATGACATTTCGATTATCATTCCAGATGTATGTCATAAGAAGTGACCAGTACGGCTACCGCCACTTCAGCGCAGATCAACATGCAATCAGAGATGCCTACGCTGACGCCGGAGATTATAACTGAGGGTCCCGCCACTATCACAGAGAGGACACCCTCAACGCCAGCGCAGACCATCCCAGACGACCTGGTCAACCAAATCATGAGGCTGATGGAAGACCGCTACGGCTTACAGAGGCCTCAGAGCCACGGGCCCCAGAGCCCACCCCATACTAAGTCATACAGGGCCCCAGAGCCCGCCTTTGACTTCGCGTGAGGGCCCCTGAGCCCATAGACGCGCCTCCGCTGAAGGGCAACCCTGCCCGAGTGAGCTCTTTGCATAAGGTATCCCAGGCCGCCCGAAGGAGCTAGAGTCTGACCCTTTGCAAGAGGCTTCAAGGAGAAGGAGTGCTTCGCCTAGCACGCACCTTGTCATGTATGTAAGGGCGCTCGAAGCAAGCACTCATATGTCGGATCGACACTGACTTCCAGACATTCGCGCAAAGACGCCAAGGCTAAGTGGTTCTACAACGCCTAGAAGACGCGCTCGCAGCAGCCCTCAACGCTCGAGAAGCCCAGAGCGCCGGGCGGCCATCACCGCTCTCAAGCCCACAGTTTCCGCTAAGGATGATGTCTTCCAAGGTCTACATACACTAGCCAATCGCCAGTCCGTTTCTCCTCAGTCCTCACATAGATCTTCTTACAGATCGAGGGTCTCGACATACCACCATACGCCAGAGGAAGACGATGGTATCATTTAAGATCGGACTCTAGACACTTCGCTAAGGAAGTCCCAGGTCGCCTCCGCGAAGGAGCTACAGCCTCACCAATTGAGAGGGACATCGCGAGGAGAAGGAGCGCCACGAGCCCACACCCTGTAGAACACAGAGGTCGCTCGCGCGGGCAAGCCATATATTGATCGGACTCTGACTCGATACTTTCGCGAAGGTCGCTAAGGCTAAGTGGCTCCAAGTCTATTTCACCCAGAAGATCTAGAAGCGCTATTTCGAGATTCGCTAAGTCCCCCGGCGCTCGCCGAGGAAGTCTCCTCCAAGGTCTCCATATACTAGCCACTCGCCATATATAGCCACTCGCCAGTCCGCTCAAGACATCACATGAGTTGTTTATCAACTGTAAGCCATATGCCGCCTACAAGCCTACGCTAAGACAATTGCACAGGCTATTTACAACACACAACGCCGCTGTATTAATTTATCAACGGATGAAGAGCCTAATTAGGATCTTCGCCGACTACCTACTACGATACGATTATCTACATGCGTGACATTACGCAGATCTGCAGACAATTCAAAACGAAATTGAACAGCAGTCTTGTTACAGCTTAGTAAAACTCATAATCGCCAACGATTTCCTCAGAAGTAATATGTACAACAAGTTCAGCTTTAACAGTCTACAAGCTGACAACTTGCAAGGTTATTGAACCTTATATAAGGAAGTCGGAATTATCTTCAAGACTGAAGTTACTTTCACGACAGCCTGGAAAATAACTTATCCAGCATTAATATTACAGAGCGAGGTATTTTCATACCGGAGGTTTCGCTTACCATCAACCCTCAAACACGTGGTCACCGGGTAACTTCGAAGTTACGTGAAGACCGACGATTGTTCTAATATCAACGACGCACTATATTATACAAGGTTCCTTTCCTGATACACCGGTGACGCCACAGCGCTGGTACTCTACAGAATCAAAATGCCTTGTTCTGATTGGACCGAGATGGACAACGCCTTCACGCAGAGGTCGATCATAGTTCACAGTTCAACACATAGGTTGCAAGTGACAACAATATATCAGTGAACGAGCAAGCCTCCTTACAGTCCAGCTAATCTAAACCTTCATGATTGGGCTGCCTTCTTGAGGTTAGAGACCTCCCCTGTCAAGTAAGGACGAGGACACGGCAGTCAGACGATTTTTTACATAAAGTTCAACGATGGCAGTCACCCCTGGTTATGCATCTACATCGCCAAGCACTTCGCAGCTTAATTTACCTCGACGACGGGATACAAATGGATCCAAATCCATAGCGTCTCAGACTACAGTTGAATTCATCATCAAGCTACTAACACAACTAGATGGTTAGTAAACCTACTTAAGTTGGACCTAGAACCTTCGCAAGATCTGCTATTCTAGGTTTTTGATTTGTAACGGCGCAGAATCGTATAATTGTACCGGAGGACCATGGATCAAGATCCAACAGTCATTTCCACAAGCCTTACTATCTCCGCTACCACTACGACAGTGACAGAGTCTGTTGGGGTTACGACTTCAGCTCAGCTCAAGACATGACAGACAGAGGCAGACTACAATTACATCCGCTACAAGTCATCAGCACTGCGATCTAGACTAATCTCTACCGCTCAATCATCGGTTCAGGTCAAACCTCATCTACTATGATGCACCAAGAGATCGAATGTTTGAATAGGCGCCTCGCTAATAGAGCTGGAATCGATAACACTTTCTACGTAGATGTGTCACTATAAGGTTGGGGAGCCCATCTTGCCAACAGGACGGCATCAGGGCTATGAGCAATCAAGAGAGCAATTACACATAAATCTGCTAGAGATGCAAGCAGTAATAAACGCCTTAATACACTGGAGCAACTTACTACAGTATACCCAGTGGATGATTCACACAGTCAATTCGACAGTGGCGCTTTTATGTGAACAAACTAAGCTCAACCAGGTCCCCTAACATATCGACTCTGTTTTCAATTGTTCGATTTAATCAACAATCTCAACATACATGTCAGAGCATATCACATTCCAGGAGCAAAGAATGTGATAGCAGACGCTCTCTCTCGGCCACACATACCATCGCCGACAGAATGAATGCTCCATACAGAGATATTCACTCAAATTATCAAGGAAATAGGAACTACACTAATAGACCTATTTACCATTCGATTCAACAAACAACTGACAACATTCAGATCGCCAGTTCCAGACCCACTAGCATTGGCAACAGACGACTAAGCATATCGTGGAAGGTCTCAACGCAGACGCTTTTCCGCCACCAGCAGTTAATCTCACAAGTTTACTCTAAATCAGTCTAAAGCAGAGCCTCCATCTGATTTTGGTCACGGCCTACTGACCAGCGAGGAAGTGGTTTCCAACTCTTATTCAAGAAATCGGACAACCAATACTACACCTTACAGAGTGCTCGAATCTGTTAATACATCCGCACACCAAACAAGCGCACGGAAAGCCAGATATATTCCAACTTCACGCATGGATTGTATCATAGGCGGTCTGAATAACAAGTTATTCAGCCAGAGCGCAAAGCAGTCTAACTTGCCCCCATGTGAACTCAACTGGCAACTTATAATGATGACAAATGGCACAGTTTTGTCAATTATGCTGCAAAGGAAGGATTTACAGCTAGATATGCTACTCATCCTCAAGTGGCGGACTACTTATGTTATCTACGCCAGACTAAGATTTTATAAGGCTCAGCTTGTCCACCTATCTTGCAGCAATAGCTCTATCATAACTGAGAACGGGCCAAGTTAACCTAACCCAGTTACTCGCCTGCTACGAAGCCTCCGATTGAGGATTAAAACGGAAGTTCACGCCCAACTTGGGATCTGAATATAGTGCTCCAACACCTCACAAGTGAGGTTTATGAACACGCTTTGATGATATACTTGAACCCCATGATACGATGAATCTATCACGATGGCCAGTAATAGCACTGAAAATATATCTCCACCGAGCCAAACAGGAGGGAAAAATGCAAGAGATTTATTTCCTCTATCAAGCTACGCAGACGGAAGTCTCAATGCACTACTATATCTCCTTTGATCAGAACTGTCATACTACGTGCCTACAAGACTGTAGGACTCTACCCTCCATGAGCTTCTAATCCTCATAATATTAGAGCTAACATCTCCAATTGCTCTACACAAATGCTTTTGGAATAATGGAGGGTTATTTCTGAGATCCGATATGGTGTTTGCCAACCACTATCTGAGAGATATCACCACCGAGGACGCCTCAGGTATCCACCTATTCGGTCCCATGGTCCTCAGACAACAGTTGACAGTTCCTCGAGAAGATAAGTCCATCTTACAGAATTTTACTTATCTT